TATGGGTCTTTCAAAGTGAAGATAACCCAACAAAAGTTGTTCGAGCTCGAAGTGTTGCGAAGCAAATGGTCGCCTGTTTTTTCGCGATAAGTGGTCATGTGGCAACAGTTCCACTAGAGGCTCGTAAGACCGTCAATTCTGATTGGTACACCACCATTTGTTTGCCCGAAGTGTTTGATGAAATAAGAAAAAACAACCGCCGTCGCAAAATAATTCTTCATCATGATAATACGAGCTCTCACACATCTCATCAAACAGTCGATTATTTGACCGGTCAAAAGATCGATTTAATGGGTCATCCGCCGTCCAGTCCTGATTTGGCACCCAACGATTTCTTTTTATTCCCGAGCGTGAAGAATAAACTGCGTGGTCAACGATTTTCATCGCCCGAAGAAGCAGTTGATGCGTTCAAAACACACGTTTTGGAGATATCACTTTCGGAGTGGCATGAATGCTATGACAAATGGTTCGAGCGAATGCAAAAGTGTATTGATCATCATGGCGAATATTTTGAAAAACAATAAAACCATTTTCGATGAAACCCCATTGTCTTATATATGTTTTTGAAAAAACTTAAATAGTGACCCTCGTATAACTACATTAAAAAAAATTATGTAACGTTCTTCAGATTCCGTTTTTGTATTGCCATATTTATTCTTACGGTCTTTTTATGTAAAGGTGTATTTTCTTTTATTTCTCTTGGCACATGAAATCATTTTTTTAAATGTAAAATATGCAAATTACATATTAGAACGTAAATTAAATAAACTTTTTACATGGAACTATATGCACTCTTATTCCAATGAATCATAATTAATAAGTGTGGCAATAGTTATAATCCAATAATGGTACCATTATTGACATGAATATAATGATATAAATATGACAACCGAAATTGGCAATTTATGAAAACGAAAAGGATTTGATGTTGATTGAAATTATGCAAATTGAAGTGTTTTGAAGACCAAAAACGCATGCCTAACATTCCAAAAAAAATGAAAATCATCTGAAAATGCTGAAATGATCAATCAATATCCGATGTCAAATCATGTTACTTGCTCGTCTTTGTTTGTGACTATTTTGCATGGACATATTCGTTTGCGAATTCTGTTCGGTAAAATTGCGTGGGTGAGAAATGGAGAGAGAGAAAGAGACAGAGAAAATGTCGAGAACAACTACCAATTGAAACAAAATCGTTTACTTTCCTGTTCTCGCGCTTCCCATTTTTAAAGCTACTGCTTGATTTCCAATTTCTTCTGTTTTTTTTTTGGAATAAATTCATGTGTGTGTATTTTTTATATTTTAAAATTCGGAGCTTCGGCCGAGTAACCGTGCTGACACAAATCAGCGACGATATATCTATATGCGGAGAACGTACATTATGTGCGTTGTTTTTTTTCTCCTCTTCTTTTTTCAATCTTTTGCTTTGTTTTACTTTTCCGCACACATAGTGTAAGATGAAAAGTATTGTAATCGGTCAGAATTTTGAAAACTTCAGAAAAATGTTTTCTACCTATATAATATTATTGAGGTCAGAGAATACGAATTTGGCGTTTTTCAAAATGGTTTTTGTTAATCTGTACGTCGAACGTCGTACGTCTGATTAATTCAAAATCTGACTTTACAGGATGAAAAAAAATTTCATGCCTGGAGTGATACCTATGAAAAAGAGTCCAATTTTCGTCCAGAAGTCATACTTAATGTAGACTTAAACACTCAAAAATATGTATTGGGGGGTTTTTTGGCACAAGAAAACCGAATCCGATGTTAGTTTTGAGAAAACCGAATCCGAGGTTACAAAAAATTGCATTTTTGTATGGGAGCCATGCCCGTATACTACCTTAATGACTTGAAACTTTGCACAGACTATTTTTTACACAAAAAAATAACATTTTGAAAGTTTGAGAGATTTCAATCAAAATTAGGGGTACCTCCCATACAAAATTTTGTGAAAAAAATAACCCGTGCAAAGTTTCACACCATTAAGGTAGCATACAGCCATGTCCCATACAAAGATCCAAATTTTTTGTGACTTTAGTTAGAAAAGTGTTTCAAAAATAATTTTTATGGCAAAATTAACGTCAAACATATTTTTCTATAGTGTTTTGTTAGAAAGTAGAATACTTTCAAATGTCGTACAAATGGGTTCATCATGAAAGTGTGAAAAATCTTTTCTCGGGTACTTCTGCTATTAAATTAAAGAATATTTCGATGCCAAGGTTTGGACATATTTTTTGGTCTCGAACTTTACGCCGCTTGAAAGGCTTGACAAATCGAACAAATATTATTTTGAACTTGCTTAATAAAATACGCAACTACGACTGTGCGGAAAAGTTCGTCTTACTCCCGCAAGACTCTTTATTTATTTTTATTTTTCGTCTCCATTCTCGTTTCTCGCGTGATCACATTTGAACGACCGAAATAATAACAAAAGTGAGTCAAAGAAGAGAAAATACAGCGAAGTGAGGCACAGAACTTGCGAAGAGCGAACGCGCACACAATTCATCTGTGTGAAACCAGTTTCCTATATATCACATTTTTTATTCGTTTACCCAGTTTTTTTTTAAATCAGTGTGTTGATGTTTTACTGTAGTTTCAATTGCTAACACGTTTTTCGCTCGTTTGCTTCTTCTACCTCTTCTTTGGTGTCTTTAACTCTTAACCGGGCAGGTCAAAATCCTAACGTTATCGGGCAAGTGGGGCCTCAGAGGCCCGACGTACATTTTCCATGCAAATTCAATGAAAAATTTTTTTTTTCTTTTTTCGAATTTCATTGAATTTATACGACGAAAATTTTTGTTTTAACATAATAGATATTGAATTAAATATGTTTTTTGTAAAATATAACCGAAAAAATGAAAAAATAATCAATATTTCCGAATCGGATGAATTTAAGTTTCAGTAGTTGTTCAGTACAAATTTTGCACTTCATTTTAAAAAATTTGATGACATTTTGTATGGAAAATGTACGTCCGGTAGATGTTCAAACCCGACCTGCCCGGTTAAGGGTTAAAAATACACAAGCAAATTGCAAAATTAAATTAAACGAAATAAAGATTTGTATGTGCTAAATACAACAACAACGATACAGAATAAATAATAAAAACATTCATGTACTAATTTCTATATTATTTTATAGAAAATCATGTCCAAAGCGGCACATTGTCACTGTAACAATTGTTGTAACCATATAAAATAATCGAATCGAGCTGTAATTCTGTTTTAATATTTTAGACCGAGAGCTGATGGGAAAAGATCTATTATTTTTGCTTTATGTCAGAAAACTATATTAAACCATGCAGCTAGACATACACTAAACAAATAATTTTACGTCTGTCATTACAGCCCTCCCACTCGCGAAATCTGCACTATTCTTCGAGGATAGAAAATACATCAACTATTAAAGCGAGCTGCATGATTGTTTTATTTTGGAATATGTTTCGTTATTGCTCAAATATTCGTTGGTTAAAATTTCTGCATGTCATTCCGTGTTGTTTACAACATCTGCACTGATTAATTATTTAAGAAAAACAATCAATTATTTTTTCTGCTTCACGTCTGAAATTTTAAACATCGATTCTTTATCAGTAAATAACCCTAAATTATAAATATCTGCACATAAAAATGTGTATTTATTTTTTTCTGTGTAAACAAAAATTCAGTTTCTTGTACATGAAAAACTCACTAAATGACACATTGAACGCACCCATTTGAGCTGTCAAACGACTCATATTGTGTGATTTCCATATATACGAACATGAATTTTTTTTTTCACAGAAAAAAATAAATACACATTTTTTCGTGCAGATATTTATAATTTAGTGTTATTTTATGATAAAGAATCGATGTTTAAAATTTCAGACGTAAAGCAGAAAAAAAATTGATAGCTTTTTTTAAATAATTAATTAGTGCAGATTTTCTAAACAACGTGGAATTACATGCAGAAATTTTAACCAACGAATATTTGAGCAATAACAAAACATATTCCAAAATAGAACAAACATGCAGCTCGCTTTAATAGTTGATGTATTTTCTATCCGCGAATAATAGTGCAGATTTCGCGAGTGGGAGGGCTGTAATGATAGAGTTAAAATTATTTGTTTAGTTATTGTCTAGCTGCATGGTTTGATATAGTTTTTTGACTTAAAGCAAAAATAATAGATCTTTTCCCATCAACTCTCGGTCTATTTGTTTTTTTATATTTACAAGCGTTGTTGGCGACGACTACTTTCGTCTGTAAAATGTTTCATATTCGGTTTTTTTGGCTTTTCATTTCCGACGCCAACATTCGACTACGTGCGTTCTCTGTGTAAATGAAAAACAAAAACTCAACAGATTGTTTTCAATTTCTTTCGCTTTAATCGGGCGCACAAAACAATGATTTGAATTTTGCGAATGTTAATGAATGTAAGAAAACAAGAATATTTAGTACAATTTCCATGTAAAAAGTGTTTATTGCAAAATTTCGTACAAAAATGCCAGGAGCAATCTAAAAATTACTAGAGATTTAAAAAAAAAAAAAACATAGTTAATTTTTACATTTTTGAAATAATCAAATGATTTGAACCAAAATTTATGAATTTCTGACGTGAAAATTAAAACTGAAAACTCTATTTGTTTAAAGATATATATGCACTCGCGGTTTGTGTGTATATGTAAGCGGTTGATTTATATTGCACAATAAAATTTTGTTGACTGTTTAAATGTATGATGTAATAGTTAATTAATTGCTTAATAAGAGAATTGCACTTGAGCGCACAAACACATCTTAACTGACATGCACCTTAAAATACCAGTGACCAGAACGTTCTAAAAATGTTTCGTTGTTTCACACAGAGAGAAAATGTTGTACATTCGTGACGATTTTTGCATATTATTTTATTTAGCACGCCATTTTTCCCTACATTATGTTATAGCTAAGAACCGACATGAAATGGGTGAAGAAAAATGATGTGTTTTGTTGAATCACCCAATTTTGTTTTGTCGGTTTTTTTCTTCTATTTTTTCGGTTAAACGTTTGAAGTACTTCCAGAACCACTCACTTCACGACACTTCAATCTTGTATCTGAAGTATAGGTCAACAGTGCTAAAATGCTGCAAATCTATAATGTAAACAAATTTTCAACAAAAAAAAAACCAATTTATTGACCAAATATTATACAAATAAAATTATAAAAATGATAAATTAAAAGCATATTTAAATGTTGTATTGTATCATCATCACAAATGTCATTTGCAAATCAATAGCTGTGCTCAGAAAATATGCAAATAAAAACCTTTTTTCACTTTTCTGTGCACACGAATAATATTAGTTTTTTTTTGGAAAAATGAAATGCATAGCATATATCGAATGTGTCACATGGTTTGAATAGTTATCAGCTATACTTACAGTTGCAATTATTGAACCAATAACACGACCCAAATTAAATGTATAATTGAAAAGATAGTTCCAACATAGAGTAAGGATGTCAACAGTCGCAACTATGTAACAAATTGTGAGTATAACGCATATAACAACTTCAACTTTCAGCCATACAGACGACTGACGTAAGCTCGCTTTGCAAATTAGTACCAGCAATAGAATTACGGTGACCAAAAATGCAAAGGATGCCAAATATTGATATCGATAGCCATAAATTCCACTGATGTAGCATGCCAACAAACCGAGTGCTCCCAGTGTCTTTTGCAAATAAATATTACGAAACATATATAAAAAATGCAATAATTATATGAAAACAATTTGACATAAAAATGTGAATTACAGAAACTGAAAAAATTAACTCACCAAACAGCTAACTTTATATTTGCCAGGTGTGGTGTTCAAGTATCCTGTGTCGAATTCAATGATCGAACTCATTTTTTTGTTGCTGAATTTGTTGGTTTGACTTCTCAAATTATCGTAAAATATTCACTGTATATATTTTGGCTTACCTTGTCTCGCTTCTGAAAGTGAGGAATGAAAATGATCAAATATTGTAAACTTAAAACTTACACAGAAACAAGTATTCGAGTACGCTTACTCGCACGTGCGGTGTTAGTAGAGACTTTACCCCTCAAAATGAGTTAAGCACTCTATTTTACTCTATTTTTGGTGTTAGTTTCATCAAACGTATGTGACGATACACTTAGCAATCATATTCGTTAGCGTATACACAGACTCATATGCACACAACGAAACACCAAAAATCGAGTATCACTTGCGTTGTATATTGACAATGTATTTGAACGCGACTCGATTTAAGAAGCGCCATCTCTTTCACGCCAGGTTCTAATATATTTTTTTCTTGCAAAAAAAATTGCAAAATTGTATAAATTGAATAAGTTTTGCAATAATAATAGCGAAAATAATTAATAGAATTTATAATAAATAAGAAAAATTGAAAAAAACACACAAATATTTTACATTATATGATATGTAGCTTTGCCTTGTAGACGTTGCCTTGTAGAATATGTAGAGATGGTTACGTGGAGAAAATATGTATTTGTCAAACATTGA